ATGAGTCACTCTTAATTATCTGCCGCCGATTAAATAACAATAATGATTCTAATCAGCATTCATCTGATGAACAGCTTTATTGTTTGTTTGTTTGTTTGTTTTTAAACAACAATAATAATTGTAGTTCTTTGTAAACACGGTCTCGGTTCTGGTTCCGGCTCTCTGTAGCTCTGGAGCCTTTTACACTGACAGCGGCGCTGATTCGCGGGAACTTTCCGCCTCCGTTCACACACTGTCTGCGCCGCTCCGACCCACAGCTGCTCCGCCCTGTTCACCGGGACACACGCCGAACGCACAGCACGACCCGGACCCGACCGGACCGCCTGCAGCTCGGATCAGACCGGCTCAGAGGTGAGGCTCTTCGGCACCGTATTTTCTGATCGAGCGCGGAGCTGCTGCTGCTGTGAGTCCGCAGGAGGAGGCTCGTTCTGCGGCTGCTGCTCCGGAGGATCCCCGCTCTGCCCGGGTCGGTCCAGAACCACCGTGTCGGTCCAGGATTTCTGGTTCCGCCCCGATTCTGTCTCACACTGTCGGAAGGTGCGCACTTTTAATCTGCAAACTTTCAAACTTTAGCGCAGCTCCAGATTGGACTAAAAGTTGTCTGTGTTCTGATTCTGTTCAGTCTTGGTTCTCTTTTTGTTTTGTCCTCGCTATGGCCCTGTTTAGTCCTGGTTCTGCTTTGCCATGGTTCTAGTTTTGTTTTGTCCTGATTCTGCCTTGTCCTGGTTCTGGTTTTGGCTCGTCCAGGTTCTGGATTTATCCTGATTCTGCCTTGTCCTTGTTCTGGTTTTGGTTCGTCCTGGTTCTGGGTTTATCATGATTCTGTCTTGTCCTGGTTCTGGGTTTATCGTGATTCTGTCTTGTCCTGGTTCTGGTTCGTCCTGGTTCTGGGTTTATCGTGATTCTGTCTTGACCTGGTTCTGGTCTTTGTTAAATGCAGTGTTGTGAAGCTGTTCCCGAGCTCTGGTTCTGTTTTGTCCTGGTTCTGGGTTTGTTCTGTACTGGTTCTGGTCCTAAAACAGATTACATTAAACCCGTCTGTCTCCTCCTGCAGTGACTGTGGTGTCATGGAGCTGTTTCCTGTCTCTGGTTCTGGCTCAGATTCGGGTCAAGTTCTGGCTCAGGATCAGGTCAGATTTGGGTCAAGTTCTGGCTCAGGTTGTGTTCAGGTTCTGGTCCAGGTTACGCCTTTTGTTCCATGAACCCCACAGTGGATGTGCAGCTGGACTTCCATCCACCCCGAGCTCCTCCTGCAGCTTCACAGCAGCAGAACTGAGTCAGAACCACCTGCAGACCTTCCTGATGATTCTTTCCCCTCTGGTGCGGTTCTGTTGGCCCCAGCTGAGGCTGTGGTGGAGGATCAGTTGATCTTTGTTTTGGGGGATTTTCCGATGAGGAACCTGAAATGCTGTGATTGGATCAAACAGACTTGGTTTTTTGACCTCAGGTGATGCGTTCAGGAACCGTCTGAAAGGTGGTAATCAGAGTTTCTTTCTGGTTTTAGTGCCTGGCTGATAAATGGGGTCAGTTTGGTGACATTTTTGGGGGTTTTGGGGTTCAGATGGCCAAATGAGCTCAGCAGCTGTTTGAATGTGACCACAGCAGCAGAAGCAGAGGATCGTGGGTATTGTAGTGTTTACACCAATTCAGCGTATGAAAGTGACAAAGACAATAAGTGAGACGGCAGCTTCAGCAGAAACATGCAGAATACAGTGATTGTATTAAATGTCGTGATTGTGAACGTTGGTGTGTTTCGCTGGACATTTGGTCCCTTTGTGGTCGTGTTGGTGCTTTCTGGTGTCAGGTTTGTGCTTCACTTCTGTCTTATTGCTGCTTCAGGCGACGCTGAGCAACACCTGGCACAAGAGTCTTCCTCTGGACAAAGACGTTTCTGGCTTTTCTAAACATACTTTGAACCTACCAGCAGTTTTTGGGTTTCACTGTTAAAGGAATCAGACCTGTGATGGAGGAATGACAGTTTCCAGCTTCTACTGATGAGACGTCTGGAACACGACCATGAACCTGCTGCTTCGTTCCTCCTCTGATAGATTTGCAGTTTTGTCCATGAACTGTCAGAAAGCTGAGAGCCTGAAGTCGTTTCCTCACCATGTCGTCTCCTGTTTAGTTTTAATTCCATCACAACACCTTCACAACCTCTCTGCATGGTTCTGCTGAAGCTGCTGTTTGAATACATTGTGTTTCTGACATCAGGTTTTGTTGGTCAGCTTCACTGGTGCAAATATGACCCATGATCCTTTGCTGCTGCTGCCATGAAGAAGCAGTCAGTCAGATGTCTGTATTTAAATTTATGAACCCAGAAAACACAAAACAGTAAAAGCAAACTGACACAGTCTATGAACCAGAAGCGGTATGAACACAAACTGTCATGTGTTCAGTCTTTGAATTCATCATTTGTTGTTTTTTTTCATCAAAATCACTTCATTCTACTTTTTTTTTTTCTTTTTTTTTTTTTATCTCCAAAAGTAAACTTCTTCCCTCCTCAGCAGAGCTAATTCTTGAGGAGTGACTGCGACCAACAGCCATCACAATCATCAGATTTTCAGCTTTCCAACAGCCCTTAAACGTGCCATGTGTGACCTATGGTTCCATCATGAAGGTCAGAGACAGAGCAGAGACGGAACACTGACCTCCTGGATCAATAAATACATGCAGCATGGGTCAGAACCAGAGAACAGAGGAGCCAGTTGGTGGAGATACATTCAGCTGATGGTGGAACATCTTTCTACAGCTGATGNAGCATATTTTTCTCATATTTCCTTTGCTTTTAAAGCGACTTTGTGAAAAACATAAACACTCCATGAATCCTTGTTGGAACAACTTCAGTCTGAGGAACTTGTAATATTACTTTTCTCAGTTTTCTCAATTGTTTTGTACTTTCAATAGAATTTGTTTCGTTTTGTGTGTAATATTATTTAATTCACGTAGAATCTTTGCTTCTTGCTCGTCTGTGACTGACGTTGTGTATCTGCTGCTTGTCCTTCGTCTCTTTGTGTGTTTCCCTCCTCTGTGATTGGCTCGTTAGTTTCCCTCCTCTGTGATTGGCTCGTTAGTTTCCCTCCTCTGTGATTGGCTCGTTAGTTTCCCTCCTCTGTGACTGGCTCGTTAGTTTCACCTGTTCAGCCCGTCAGTCGTCTACCTGTGGATGTGCAGCGTGTTGTCCTCGGTGTGTTCCCCTTCATCAGTCTGTGTGTCCTGCGTCCAGTCAGCATATCTGGACTTCATGGCTGTGGAGAACGTTCTCCGTGTGTTTGTGTGTCTGTTCTCTTGATCCTCGGCCGGCTGGAGGTTGTTTCATCCTGCTGCTGGTTGTCTGATTGAAGAGCAGCAGCTGCCTGTCCTGACTTCATGCTGGTTGAACATGAAGTTGTGACAACGTGAACTGTTGTATTTTCTCTGTGTTATGTTGAGCATGAACATGATTGATTGATTGATTGATTGATTGATTGATTGATTGATTGAGCTCTGTCCTTCCAGTCCAGGTAACCCAGGTGTGATCTGAATACTTCCTCAGATCTCTCTGCGATGTGACGTCAGAGTTTCCTCGGCATGAGGACGTCCTGCCGCGTCGTGTCCTCGGTCAGGAGCTTCCTCCTCAGCGCCCAGCAACAATCAGAGAGGAAACAGGACGAGCCTGAGACAATGCAGGCAGCTCCGAGGAGGCCGAGGGCAGCTNTGGGTCTCCAAGCAGGAGCTGCTGAGGACGGCTGGCTTATTGGTGAGTGTCACAGAGTGGAGATGTTTCAGCTGGACTTAGTCTGGTTATTAAACATGTCATCTGCAGTGATCAGGGTTATCCACTGGGTGGACGTTGGTATGAACTCGTCCTCCTCCAGTTGCATCAGTTCTCTTTTATGGACTGTGACATGTTTTGTGACTCTGAGCTTAACATCAAACCACTCTCTTTTAAAATTTGATTTCTGCTGGCGATCTGTCCTCTGACCAACAGAAACGATGCAGCTTTTTGTTCTTTTGCTGCTCATCCCAACATTAATGCACCAAACAATATTCTCTGGTTTGCTTCAACCTCGCTGACGAGTACCTCGATTTCAGGTTCTGAAAAGTTCCTCTTTGTCGCCCTTTTTGCCACGATGATGATGAACAGTGAGGGGAGAAACTTTTTTTCACTTTTTTTATAAGGAAGCGTGTTGTTGCTGTAAATGGTTGATTGGAGGCGTTTCTGAAGGAAAATGATCCTGAAAGTGCACGAACATGGAGGTTAAGAACCAGTGGGATTTACTGACTCTGATGTGCTGCGACCCCGTACGCATGTTTGATAAATACAGATTTCTTTTGTACTTACTCTACATTTCATTCCTAAGACAGAATTTAGAACCTTTTCTACGCACTGATGATAAATGAGGCCCCAGATTCCAAACCAGTCCAAAACCAAGTTTAAAAACCCAGTCTGAAACCAGTCTTAAACCGGCCCTAAACCCAATCTGTAACCAAGTCTTAAACCAGTCTAAAACTAGTTCAGAACCATGCTAAAACCAAGTCCCAAACGAGTCCAAAACCACGTCTAAAAACCTAGTCTGAAGCTAGAAGGAAGTCAATATGAAACCAAGTCTAGAACCAGTCCGAACTCATTTAGAAACTTGTCCAAAACCAGCTGCAACTCCAGCCTTAGCTGACTCTGGCTGTGGCTGTGGCTCTGGTTCTGGTTCTGGTTCTGATTCTGGCTCCTCTCTGTCCTCTCCCAGATGCAGTGTTTGAGGAGAAAGTCGGGTAGCAGTACAGTATCCTCCTACTGCTTCCTCGGCTCTGGTTCTGGTTCTAGCTCTGGCTCTGGTTTTGGCTGAGGTTCTGGCTGTAGTTCTGGCTACGGCTCAGGTTCTTGCTTTGGTTCTGGTTCTGGCTCCTAAAGGAAGGTTCCTTTAAGTGGAAGTGGGATGTGAGTGTTGTGTCCCTCGCCTGTTTGCTCGGCTCTGGCTATTGCTGTGACTCTGGTTCTGATCCTGGTTCTGGTTCTGGTTCCTCTTTGTCCTCTTCCAGCTGCAGTGTTTAAAGTGGAAGTCGGATGGGAGTGTCGTATCCTCCGGCTGTTTCCTGGTCTTTATCTGCAGCCTTCAGCAGCTTCCTGACTCGCTGTTCAGCTTCTTCTCAGGTTTTCTGCTGCTGCTGTTCGTCGTCTCGCAGCAGATCTTCAGGATCATTAGAATCTGTTCTCACTGAGTTTCACTCTGTGAGTCTGCAGACATTCAGGACTTGAGATAAAACTGGAGAAGTCTGATTTGTTGAAGATTTTTTTAATGAGATGAGGATGAGTTTCAGATCCTTTCAGAACAACAGAAACCGTCACTAACAGCAAACATGAATCACAAGATTCCTGTTTTTTTTTTGACCAAGAAATGTTCTGAGCACAACGTTTGTTCAAACCAACGGTAACGTTTCTCTGCTTCAGTGTGGATCAGGACCAAAGCAGACAGAACCTATTTGTGATGTGACACTGTGACCAGTACTGATGAGCTAACAGCTGTTAGATTAGTCATCATCGCTTCTGAAAAAATCAGTCTGAGGAACTTTTCACTGAAAACATGAACAATTCTGTGACTGCTTCTTAAATGTCAATGTTTTCTGGTGTCTCTCCTCCTCTGACAACTTTCTGGACAGATTTTGACTCATCTTGGACTGTTGGTTTTGGAAAGTAACGTCCACAGAGTGCAGAAAAGCTGATAGAGCTCAGACCAGACCTCATAGGGGATCACAGCAAGGTGTCAGCCTGTTACAGACCCACACAGTGTTTCTGTTTGGAAGCTCTCCGCCCTTCTGTGGAAGCTTTGCCTCGGCTGCAGGAGGCACTCCCTGCATCCTGTGTGTGTCTCTGTGTGTGTTTGCTGTGGACAGTTTGTACTCGACTTTGGACTCTAGTTTTCCTGATCAGAGGTTCTGAACGGCCTCCGTCCTGACAGCGACGTGAGCTCTGCAGACGTCCTACGGTCAAAGTGAAATGTCTGACAGAAAGTATTCAGACTTCAGTAAACAGATCAGACTTTACCAACAACAGGAAACACTGAGTCTGTGACAGTTCAGCCGTTACACAGCTGCTGCTAGGTTCTGATTATCCTGATTATCCTGATTATCCTGGTTATCCTGATTATCCTGGTTATCCTGATTATCCTGGTTATCCTGTCTCCGTTTCAGGGATGAATGTCTAGTAAGAGACACACCATGACACAAAGTGACCACGAAGAGATGTAGAACCATGACAAAAGACACAAAACCACTTTAGAGACACAAAACAACCACAAAGAGACACACAACAACCACAAAGAGACACAAACAACCACACAGAGAGACAGCAGTGGTAGGAAAGTGCCTCCAGCAGTTTGATAACCCAGTCATCAGCAGGTTGAGAATGAACTTCTCTTCCTTGCAGACTTCATCATGTGACTTCCTGGTCTTTGTTTGTGGCGTTTGTCACATGACCTCCCTGTCGTCATTAATGGCCGCTGCTGTTTCAGTGCTACACAGAGGTCGGAGGTCATCCTGCTGCACATGCTCAAAAACAATCTTGCAGTCTGATGACGTCAGCTTTCCTTCTTCTGTGGTTTGGCTGGGAGGAGGAGGGAGGTCATGACCTCCAGGCGTGGAAGGTCCCAGTGATTCTGTTCTTTACAGTGGAAGTCTTCTCTGTGTGGAGGTAAAGGTGGAGCGCCCCCTGCTGGAGGGAGGAGGGTTCACACTCACTCATTTTTCCTCACTGTGGGCTCATTTTTAACTGCAATGTAAAGTCCTGCAGCTGTTTGTAAAGCGCAGAGCAGTGGAGGGAGAGAACACTCAGAAACGTCTGCTGTGCAGCATTACTCAGAACGATAAAAAAAAAAGAAAACATGTCTTATTATTTAATTTACAAAAAACAACAGAAGCAAAACTGGAATCTACATGTCCAACATGTTTCCAAGTGTCCACAGGTGTTACCAGCACTGGGAGACATGGAGGCTCCACACACGCCCGCTGATAGGGGGGGACAAACGGGTCTGTTGTCCCGGGCCCAGAGTGGGGTGGGGGGCCCAGAACTGGACCCTCATTGAATTATGGATTTTTTTTCCCCAAAGAAGGGCTATTAATGGAAAGAAACANGAGAGGAAAAGTCTGGAGACATGGAGATAGTTCAACATCTACAGTATGTTCTCCAGTGCTGGTGACACCTGTGGACACGTTGTTTTTTACATTGTTATAAAATAAATAATGACAGAAATGTTTTACTTTTAGATTTCTGTCATTCTGCACAGACGACATCCCTGAGTTCTTTCTCCTTCTTTGTCTTCTGTCTCCATCGAGCTGCAGGACTTTATGTTAAGACGGTTAAGATCTGAATTTCCTACAGCACCTCAATGCAGCACAGCCAATCGCAGAAACGGTGAAACGTGTGCACCCAGCTGATATGGTGGTTGCAGATGGGATGTTTTTTTGCTTTTTTTTGTTCCCAGAGTTCCCAGTGTTCCCAGTGAGCGTCACTGTGTGGTTCCAGTCACAGCTCTGGAACAATCGGCCTTCTGTTCGTCACAATAGAGCCTCAGTTTTGTCGACCTCCTCCCTCTGCGTCCTCTTTGCTGATGTGTCCGACTCACGTTCGGTCCTGCAGCACCTCGCTGATACAACGTGCCCGATATGTGTCCTCCACTGGTCTGAACCACGTCCACAAGTGTCAAGGAAAAGCTCCAATTCCTGCAGCAGAGCGCACAGTGGGTCTGAAACGGCAGAATCATTTGTTGTAGCACCACAGAGCCACAATCTTCTGGTTTCACCCTTAACAACACGACACAAAATAAGAAAAATGTGACACAAAGGCGCACAAGACGAGCAAAACGAGACACACAATGCTGTTAGCTGCTATTCGCTGCTATTAGCTGCTATTAGCTGACGTTACCTGATGTTCGCTGTTAATTCAGTTTATTTACAGAGAATTCAAAACAGCCACCAAAGCCGGAGATCAATCATGCAATAAGTAGAAAAGGAGCTTCGGCTGCTCTGAACTGTAAAATATCCACTGATTCCATTTTGCCCATCGTTCTTTATTCGACTCAGAGCGCACGAAGACGGATTCATGAAGCCGAGTGAGAAATAAAAGATGTCAAATAAGAACCTTGAACATCTATTAAATAGGAAAAGACAGAGTAAAGTATAAAAACAGCAATAAGAGCATTTATGTCTTTAAAACGAATGAATTTGTTTAAACAAAAGCAGCGAGAAGAGAAACAATTTGAATTTAAAACATGTATTAAATAAAAACGAGTCCATCTTCAGATTAAAACTGGATTTAATTTAAGTTTAATACACAGCCTGAACTTTTTCACTGTGTTCATAGAAACTTGGATTTCTGACTCCAGTAATTATTATTTTTAAAATGTTTTTCATCATGTTTTGATCACATTTGATCTCGTTTCCAGTTCATACTTTTGAATATGTGACCTTTTGTTTTCAGTATGCCGTGAGCTGCCTCATACGATCACACAGGGTTTTACTCTTTGTATTTGCAGCAGAAGGGATGAAGGCGTGTGAAGGCTGGAGGTGAGGATGAGGGAGAGGAGGGAGTGTCTGGTGTTTGGGGAGTTGAGGGAAGGGCAGCGGAAACCGAAGGCGGGTCTGAATGAAGGCACTGTTCTGATCCGCTGTTCTGACGGACTCATGGAGGCTGAAGTGGCCCAGCTGAAGGTGGCTGCTGATCCTGGATGTGCCCCAGCTGCTTCATGCCTCTTTGTGGGTGTTTTGTGTCTCCTTGGTGTCGTTCCGTGTGTCTTTGCCGTCTTGACCAACATTATCTGCAGTTACGATGAGAACAGGCTGAAACGTTCCTCACTGCATGTCCTCCGTCTGACCGTCCTTTTAGATGCTACTCTTCTGATGGAGTTACTCTTTCTGTGAATGGGGCTTCGTGGAGCATCATGAGCCTCCTGAAGTTGTACCCAAAATACTCCAAACCTTCACATATAGTCACTAAAGCAGCCTCTGTATTCTCCAGAGGGACAAAGGCCGAAGAAAAGAGCATCCATCCATCATCTCTACACCTTAATCCTCACCAGGGTCATGGGGGGCGGANCTGTTGGCCGTCTCATCGTTGTTGTGAATCAACCCAACCACAGTCGTGTCATCTGCAAACCTGACAAAGATGTTGCTGCTGTGGGCTGGTGCCTGGTGGTGGGTGTCTGGGGTGCACAGCATGGGGCCGAGCACACCGCCCTGAGGGGCCCCAGTGCTCACTGTCAGCACTGAGGAGTGGTGGAGCCCCAACCTGACTGACTGCAGACGGCTGGTGAGAACGTCTCTGATCCATGTGCAGGTGTGCTCGCTGGTTCCCAGACTGCAGTTTGAACATCAGTCTGCTTGGAACAAGCGTGTTAGAAGCAGGACTGAAGTCCACAAACAACATCCTCACATAACTGCCAGACTGTTCAAGATGTTGACTCACCGTGTGGAGGGCTGTGTTGATGGCATCACCTGTGGACCTGTTGGCTCTGGATGCCAGTTGGTGCTGATCAAGGCTGGGAGGCAGGAAGGATTTTATGTGCCCCAGCACCAGCCTCTCAGAGCACTTCGTCACAGGTGAAGTGAGAGCCACAGGTCTGTAACCATTCAGACTGCTGACCGACTGTCTCTTGGGGAATAGTGGCAGATTGTATGGAGCAAGGGACTGTGCAGGCAGCCAGTGAGAGGTTAAAGATGGTAGTAAAAACCTCTGCCAGCTGGTCTGCACAGCCCCTCAGTACCCTCCCCTGGACACCATCGGGACCAGCAGCCTTCGACGGGTCCACGCCCCGGAGCACCTTCCTGACCTCCTCCGTGCTCACAGTGAGGGCCAGGTTGTCAGCGGGTGGCAGCGTGAGGGTGTCCTCTTCCTCGCTGACTTCAAACCCAGCAAAGAACTGATGTAGCTCCTCTGCTCGGCTTGTGCTGGTGCTGGTGGTGGCAGCAGTGGAAGTGTTCATGTTGGTGAGGTCATGGAGTGGTGCCCTGCCAAACATGTCGGGGGTTCTCCTCCGTGAAGTGTCCCTCGATCTTCTTGGCGTGTGCTGCCTTAGCCCGCTTGATGCCTCTTTTCAGGTTGGATCTGGCTGAGCTGTACAGTTCCATGTTCCCAGAGTCCCGATCCCTCAACAGCTGTTTGACCTCACTGTTCATCCACTGTTTTTTATTTGGATAATGTCTGAGAATAGAGTTAAAAGTAGACGTAAAAGAAAAAAAAAAAAAAAAGTATTCAGGGCATACTAACTGTTTCACTCTCTATCCTCCAGATGGACAGCTACCGTCTGTCCCTGCAGTAGGACAGTTATGGACGCCCTGTTCCTTGCAGGCCAAGGACACGAAGACCGATCCGGACTCCATATTTGTCGTCATGGCCTCGCTGAGTGGAAGCACACCGGTTGAGACTCTTCTGGCAGCGATCCATCTGGAGAGGTCAGGGACACACAGAGAGACAGAGGACTGACCCTTTAGCATCTCCATTAGCTGCTCACACAAAGTGCCATTCAGTGTAGGACTACAAACCAACCAATCAAAGCACACCAACAATTACCACGTAATCTCACCAACCTGCCATCTGTTTTTCCTGCAGGTACCTGGACATCTTCCGGCGAGCAAGTCTCCTATTGGCTAGAGACTTCACCCACCTGGATCATGATGCATTGGTCAGTCTTGGCGTAACGGCCACCGGACACAGGAAGAGAATTCTCCGGTTGGTCAGTTATATCCAGAGGACAGAAGGTCAGAGAGCCAATCAAAGCACTGATCTTCCACGTGACCGCTGTCAGTCAGTGACAGGCGTTTGTTCATCAGATCGAGGTCGAGGTGCTGCGCTCTGTCAGTCGACAGGACCTGTTGCCTTCGAGGCGTTCAGGAACAGTTCAGCTCCAAACCTTGCTGCCATGCTGACGAACACTGAGGGTGTCAGGACATCAGTGAAACCAGTTCCCAAACCCAGAACCGTCTTCAACCGCCGCAGGACTACACCCATCCACTTCTGTCCGACCCCAGACACCGCACCGCCCCCGCACAGGAGGCTTTCCCAGGAGTCTATCTGTTTTGCTGCATTAGAGGGCCTGACCTTGGGGGACCCGCCCACTGCTGAGAACAGTTTGACCTCTGACCTTCGATCTCGCCAGGGGGCAAGGACAAAACCCAGTCGCAGCCGATCTCTGTCCGATGCTGGAGGTGTGTTACCTCCTGTTCCCCCAAGGCTGAGGCTCCTCCCTTCGTCCTCACCTGGAAGGACTGAGCAGAACCAGACTTCCTGTCATAATAGTCTGGACATCATTGAGCTTTCTGGCTCCTCGCCATCTGGCTCTCCCAGAGGAGGGACAATGGAGATGGTCTCTAACGAGATCTACTGGGGCACTGTACCCAGTTCCACTGCCCCCAGTGGAAGGAGGAACTCCTGCAGCCAACAGTCAGCTCCTCCAACTGCACCCAGACAGACTCCTCAGAGGAACCCTGAGAGAAACCCTGAGAGGAACAGGTGGGTCTCTGATGGACTGGTTTCTATACCAGAGTCCATATGAGAAGGTTTATCTGATCAACCTGCTCCACCAGCTCTCCTGCAGTGATCTTTGATCACACTATTAGTTCTTTTTTTCATGTGATTGCTTTCTACTGCAGGAACTCATGGGAACCCATTTTCAGACAGCTGGAACCTTTTTCCAACTAACTGGAACTATTAAGCATTCTTCACAGTGATGAAAAAACTTTTTCAGTTGCACAAAAAACCTCTTAGACCAAATGATTCTACTGTGATAAGAGCACTTTGTAATTGTTTGAGTCATTTGTAAGCAAAACCAGTTAAGAGTAAGAATTTGCATCACTTCTCGGTTTGTTCATTTAGAACACGTTTGATATTTTGAGCTCTGGACTGTTGATCACACTTTTTAAAGAACCGTTTCCTGAAATTGTTCTTTAAAGAACAGCCCAAATTGCCTCAACAAATTTTTTGAAAAGTAGTTCCTGAAAATAGAAAGACAGAAAGGTTCCTTTAGAGGGTTTTTTTTCAAAGGTTCTTGAAAGAAGGATTGTTTTTTTTGAGTTTCAATAACCTTTTTTTAATTCCAACAAGGAACTTCATTCCATTATAATACATTTAATATTTTGGGCAGGTGGCATGGTGAGATAGTGGTTAGCACTGTTGCCTCACAGCTCGAATGTCCTCAGTTCCAATCTTGGCCTGGGGTCTTTCTGTAGGGACCGTGTATGTTCTCTGGCTTCCTCCCACAGTCCAAACACATCTTGAAGTTGACTGGTGGTTTTAAATTGTCCATAGGTGGTAAGTGTTAGTTGCTGTTACCTGCACCCAAACCAAAGAACTCAAGAAAAACACTCAAGATAACATGAAACAGCTTTAATGAACCACATAAAGTCTGTGAAGAACCATCCATTAAATTTAGAGGTTCTTCAACATGTGATGGCGCTTTGAGAGAACCTCATGTAGAACCAGTTAAGAGTTCTCCAGGGTAAGTTCTTCTGAGCAAACCTGAAAACCTGCTGTGTGGGGCTCAATGCTGATTGGTTAAAGTCAGAGAGGACAACATGCCCTCTGTATGTCCTTGTCCAGCAGCAGTCTTCTCCTCTCTAACCATCAACAGCATGTAGTTCTCCGTATATTCGAACAGAACTAACCTCCATTGTTCCTACATCCAACTACTGTTAGTTACTCTGAATTAACGTTGAAGCTGTTGGATCCTACTATGGAAAGAGAAGGGCTGAAAGTTCCTCTATTCACCTGAGTCGAGCTCCTGCAGGGGAAGCAGCCTGTTGATCTGGATCCTGATCCGGCTGCACGCTGTAGGTGTCTCCTCCAGCTTCTTTTGGGGATCCTGAGTGTTTGACCACAGTGGGTTTAGTCCCGGTCCGGGGGGGGGGCCAGCACAGCAGTACTACAGGACCAGCACTGGGCCCTGCAGGACTACAGGACCAGCGCTGAGCCCTTCAGATCTCTTTGAAAGTGGTTACTGATCATGTATGGATGTGTTTGTGTGTTTTCAGTGGCAGCACAGGAAGTAACAACTCTTCAGGATCAGTCCGAGGTGAGTTCAAACCCGACTGTTTCTTTGAGCCTTCAGCAGATTGACACAGTAGACACAAGGTTGTTTATGCTCATGTTAGTATTCAGGTTATTGATCTTTAGAAGGTTAGTATCCACTTTTCTAATATTTGTCTGTGTTAATATCCAGGTTAATAATGCTGTCTAATGTTAATATCCAGGTTGTTGATACCCAAATACGTTAGCATTTTGTGCATTAATATCCATGATATTGAACATTTTGTGCATTATAAGGGCAGACCGTTTACGATTTTCTCACAGTACAAAGAAGCATAAAAGTGAAAAACAAAAAAGTTAGAAATTTGTTAGCTGACAAAACATACTTGGGAGCTCAGGTGACAGCTATGGTTGTAAAGACAGACTAGGTAACGGCCTCCCTCCACAGCCAGTGTGTTGTGTTCAGCAGCCTCGACAGACGACCCTGAGGACGAGATCAGTCCATACTGTGAGACAGTCTTCCAAACCAGAGGACATCCCAACAACAGCGAGGTGAGAGGCTGCAGCCCGTCCTTTACTTCTGCTGCCCTTCACCTGAACATAACACCAAACAGATTCACCAACCTGCCGCTAAGCTGCCACCTATCTGCTACATATCTGTCACCAACCTGCCACCAATCAGCAACCCACCTGCCACGACTCTGCCACTAACCTGCCACTAATCGAACACCAACCTGCCACAAACCTGTGACTGACCTGCCACCAGCCTGCCACCAACCTGCCACTAACCTGCCACCAACCTGCCACCAACCTGCCACCAACCTGCCAACAGCCTGCCATCAACCTGCCACCAACCTGCCACTAACTTGTCACTAACCTGCCACCAGCCTGCCACTAACTTGCCACCAACCTGCCACCAACCTGTCACTAACCTGCCACCAGCCTGCCACTAACTTGCCACCAGCCTGCCACCAACCTGCCACAAACCTGCCACCAACCTGCCACCAACCTGCCACTAACTTGCCACCAACCTGCCACCAGCCTGCCACTAACTTGCCACCATCCTGCCACCAGCCTGCCACTAACTTGCCATCAACCTGCCACCAGCCTGCCACTAACTTGCCACCAACCTGCCACCAACCTGTCACCAGCCTGCCACCAGCCTGCCACTAACTTGCCACCAACCTGCCACCAACCTGCCA